CGAGAAACCAAAAGCAACTTGCACCAAATAATCTTGGTCTCGCCAATTGTCAACTGCTGAGAAGCCAGATCTTCCAAACTGATAGAAGACGACAGGTGCTTCGTCTACCAAGGCCAAAAAGCTGGGGTAGTCTGCTCCGCCAAAGCAGACCGAAAATAGATAAGCCTTTGTGTTTCCCTACACCTTTGCTTTTCTTTATTCTTGTTCCTCACCGATTTCCTTCAATTTTTAGCTAGTTTTCCACGCAAAGCTCCTACTCTCACGAAAGCCTGTCCAAAAGCAAGCACAAATCTTTTTCTCGGGGTACTGTACGTTGCTTTCGCCTGTGCTAGGGCGCTATGTCCAACGCCTGAATGACATGCAATGACCAGCTCTTGGGCCATTGCTCCTGCACCCGTTGCATGCATGACCTGTTTGTCAGGAAAAGTCAACGCTTCAGTCCAAGTTGGAATTGTCCTTGTGCGAACCCATACTCTATCATTGATGCAAGTTCATACCACAACGAACCAACTGTACTGATTTTGTGATAGATGTGAAACTTTTATAGGCTACAGCACGCCCACATTCATGTTTTCAATGGATTTCGACTGCCTCAGCCAACAAAGCAACAAACAAACCCTCATGAGAGCCAACATTTGTTGTCAAGCCATAGCAGGTTGCTGAGGAAGCTGAGGGACACACTCACGTTCATGGTATTGTGAAACCATAGCAGTCTGACCTCAATGCAGGGGCAAACTCAGACGCGGCAAAACAAATTACATCAGAAGTTGGAAACAATGACATCAATTTGAATCCAAGCATGGTCAAAAGCTGCTCAAAACAAAACATCAAGTGCCGGGCTCGGACGTGTCCCGAAGGCTTTCCGACATCTTTTCTTCCTTAATCCAACTTCCATCCTGCAAGTCCATGAGAAGCAAGGTGCGACAAGTTGAGGCTCTGCTTTGAAAGGTGCCATCTTGGCACAAACAACGGCTCCTGCTGTTGAATGTATATGTCAATCTCATCCGCATCGCATTGGACTTTGTTTGGCTTCTCCTTCTTGATCGCCTCAAAGCAAAACACACTTTCAATTTATAATATATTCTGGCTTTCATCACTGTTTGATTTGTCATGTACTCAACGTCAACTAAGGCACAGCATTGGACATGAAACGCAAAACCATGAACTCACAGCAAATGTTGTAGATGCAGATCTTTGTCAGTGCTCTTCTGAAATTTGTTCTAAAACAAAATGAATGAAATTCTGTTTGAGGTGCACACGTTGCAAACATGGACGCTCAATCTTTGTCACGTCTCTTCTGAAAATGTTCCAAAGCAAAGCGAACAAAATTATGTTTGAGGTCTGCACTTTTTTCAAGTCATCTATATTCTGGATGTCCTGAAAATAAAAAAACTGAGAAAAACGAATCAAACTTAGGTGAGTTGAAACTGCTGGCAATTCGCATCACTTTCCTAGCGTCCTTATCTTTGACTTGAAATCCATTGCCATCGAACTCGAAGCCACTTTTGCCGTCCTGCAAGGTCAAACCCAAACCCGTGTTGCACAAGCCGCTTCTGTGCAACCAATCTCTTGACTGGAGAGGAAGACATGAACGCATGGCTGAAGGAAATCTCTTGATGAAGTTTTGGCTGAACAAACCACTCAAATTTTGACCTAACACTAGTCAAACAACAACACCTTTGACGCTTGAGTGGGAGAAATGATGGAGCACAACCCTACCTTCATCATCATGACCAATCCAAATCCAAACAGGTCTTAGCACACGAATCGCGCAAAGCAACACATGAAAGGAACACAGAGAGGGATGACAAGGCTGCTTGTTCAAC